GAAAGTTCTTTGATAATAAATAGTATACCTCTGCCTTTCTTCTAATGAGGTCACTTTAACCCGTGCTCTCCAGTTTAAAGCTAGTGTTATAAAGCAGTATCACCTTAACCAGAGCACAGAAGTTAGAAGCTACTATTGAACAGCATAAATTTATTGCTAATCTTTTTTCCTCTTTTTGGTAAGAAAATGAATTCCAAAACATCCTTTTTTCTGTTTTAATGTGTACCACTAAAACAAATGCTAGCAAGCCAACAGAGTCAGCTCTAATGTGTATTCTCTAATGACTTTGCATTGCCTTTGCTTCTTAAATTTGTACATGTTTGCATTTGGGGTTTTTTTTATGAGAACCCTTTAAAAGTTCTGCAATGTAATATTTAATTCTAATTTTTCTCTGTTGTGTGGTTGAGTATAGTACCACCACCTTCAATTATCCAACTTCTAAAAGCATCAAGGCATTGCCTTGTATAATGCCTGTGATAGTTTGTGATGGCAGCTGCCATTTGGAAGTAGCTAAAGTTAAAAAATTTTATGTTTTGTATTAGATTTCACCACTGATGATTCTAAGACTTCTCTTGAAGAAATGTATTTTGAAAGCTCCAGAGTTGTAATTCTCCCTGTAGACAGTCAAATCAGAAAATAATGAATTGCATAAATTTTGAGACATTAATTTCTTATATGTTAGATATCTTAATCTTATTTTACCCTCAAGTATATTAATGTTTTTTGTTCTTAATGTTTCTGGTTCTAGAGATATTTCTTTGTTTTGCATGAGACTCAGTATATTACATATCCTCTATGTGAAGCAGTTTGAATAACATTTTTACAGGGAAAAAAAGATTATTTTCCCCTTTTGTCTTATTTCTGTGCATATAGGTCTGGTGACTGGCCCCACTGCAGTCACTGTGTTGTAGCATTTTCAACAGATTACTGGGTTAGATTGGAATAAAACTTCTTTTAGTGATTTAGAGATTGTACATGCTGATTAAATGAAATAGGATGTAGGTGATTTTGTGCTCATATTGTGTCCTGAACTAGGATATCACTTCAGAATTTCTTTGTTTTCTGGGGTTTTATTTTGCTTTATTTAACAAATTTGCCAGAAAAACTAATACTTCTAAACTAATACTTCTGCTTTCTTCTTCCCTTACCATGCTTTCAGAAAAGACAGGCCTACAGGGAATGGACTAAGACTCACAATAGTAGTGATGATGACGATGATGACAGTTAGGATTGTACGGACTGTAACAGATATATATGGCCTTTGTGACATTCTTTTGACCCTTAACTATTACATGTTGCTATAATTCCCACTGAGAAATTTGGGTTGTCTGATATTAAATTCTTATTTTTAAAATGGTAAAAAAAAGTGTGGGGAAGTAAACTGTATGATGATGAGTGCTAGGCAAAGGAGCAAAGACTATAATAAAAATAGTCTTACAGATGCAGCTCAACATCAGGTGAAAGTAGTACTGAATAATATGAAGAAATAGTAATACTGTAACTTAGAGTTTATTTCCAGATATGTTTCTATCAAGTGTGTTTAATGTTTTTGCATTTATATAAGTGTTTGGCAGGTTTTATTTGTAGTTTGCTAGATGGAATACTTTTAAATGTGTTTAGTAAAACTTTACTGAGTTGTACAGTCATTATTGGTGTTAAAATGCTGTTTGACTGTTTTATTTATTTCATATTTCAAAAGTATTTTGTCTGCTTTTCTTTTTAACAATAAACACGTCTCAAGTATATCTAAAATGGATTCATCTGTTCTGTTCCAACATTGTTTCTCATGTTTCCTGGAACTAGATTATGTAAAAACACTAAGTGGCCTATGAAAGTATTTAAAAGATAAAATATATGTATTTTGAAAGGAACATTTAACATCAACCTTTAATTTTTCATTTATCATTTGTTTTACTGTAAGTTTTAAATACTTATTTTGTGTATCCTTTGGAATCCTTCGATGTGTGAAATAATAGTTCATTTAGTTATTTTTGATTGTGACTATAAATTATTGGGGTTTTAAATCAATATTTTTGTTTTCATAGCATAACAATAAAAGTAAAAAATCCATCCCAGAACTAAACCCTGTGTAAAATCACAGCTAGCTGGAGAAAATACCAGTACTTCTACAAGGCTCTGTGTAGCAAAACATTTAACATGCAAAAGTATTTATTTTTTTTATTTACCTAGACACACGGAAAAAAACCAAAACCCAACACTAAACCTCTGTAATTCTGTATTGTAAATTCCACAATATAGCTTTACAAGTTTCTTTACACAGTGTTTTATTCTGTATTCACTGGAATGCTTGCACAGTTCTCTCATTCTTTTTTTGTGGTTGGTTGCTAATTTGGATTTTTGTGTGGCACTTTAAAGACATCTTGCAATATATATTTATGTATCAATAAGTACTGTAGTAAGATTTAACTCTTCTGCCAACATCTGAAGAATGAGAATTGCTCTAAAGCAATAAGAAGTTCTGAAATGTTTGCATATTTACCAAAAGTGTGTCATGTCCTTCATTGTCCATTGTCTTCCAGTTATCAAAATTCTGAGGGAAGAACCATTAAAATCCATAAAACTGCTTATTCTGGCTCTATGCCTTCAAAAGCTGCTGTACAGTCTGATCTCTTGGGCAAAAAGACAAGGAATGTATGTCTGTAATCTCCCAGATAAAGAGGGGACAAACTCAATTTCAGAACTTGTTTTAGCGGAAACTACTGATGCTTAAGATTGCTATACATCATGTATTGCTACTTATTTTATAATACTGTCATCTCAAAAGGATGTCTTGCAGAAGTAGATGAAAGATTGTATTACAATGTGTTACTGCCTGAAACATTGCAGGAAGGATTTTGAGTATTTCAGATACAAATGAATCTCAGGTATTTCTTTGAAGAATGTAGGAGATTATTTTGATCTTTAATCCTGAAAAAAGGCACATCATGCCTAAAAGTTGAGGAAATTTAGGTACAATTTAATGGAAAGGTTACTGCTGCATTTTAAATAAGAATTTGATTTTTAGAAATAGTATTTTTTTTGCTATCAAATTGACCTAGCTTTTAAAGTTTTTTAACTTAGAATTCTACAAAGCATTACAGAATGTGGGAGTATAATTTAGCATGAATGGTAGTACTTCTGGGTCAGGTATCACTAATTCAAGTTCTACTGCAATATAACTAAAAAGAGTTAGTTCTTTACTCAGTAGATTGAAAGGCTGTAGAATGCTAACAAACAAAAAAAGACCCAAAATTTGCTAATATAGTTTGCAAATATGATTATATACCTTAGACTATTTTGTCTCTTTCATGGAGTATAGTTCTATTTATGAAGTTTTTATGTTAAAAAACATGTACTCATTTTGTACAAGTATTTGTTTCTGTCTTGAGTCTAGCTTCCTTTGAATATATGTTGGGAAAAGAAATAATTTGGATTTAGGAAAACAAAAAGTTGTATCACCTGGGATATTAGAATTTAATTTCTAAGTCATGGAACCAAAACTTGTGAAAAGTAAAATAGCTAACTAGCTGAAACTGATGCTTTTTAAGGCACTAAAAATAAAAAATTAAATTGAAAAAAAATAATTAGAGATTATTTTCTTTAGGTATTTAAAGTAACATCTAAAAATACAGACCATCTTTTCAAATGCCCCCCGCCCCCCTTAGGTTTAATGAATTTTAGTAGTTTAACTTTTGGCTGCACATTTCTTTTCCTCACTTTTTCACTGGTGAATTGAATTTGAAGTCCAGTACTCTTGCTGAAAACTCCATGACTATGTGCCATCCTTTCAGCTCAGGTTGCCAAGTTTTCTACTGTCAACTACAGAACAAGTTGATGATTGGCCTTATCCCGAGTGTTTAGTCTTACTCTTTTAGTGACTTGTATAATGGTAACTTGAATTTATATGCTTCCTCCTTGCTGAGGTGAAAAATTGGCTGTGCTCTTTATCTTAGATGTTACCTGGTACATCCCTTTTGATCAGGGTTCTTTG